TCAGAAACATCAAACCGCAAGTTGTACATACCTGTAACGCTTCATCAACCTCTTTCGAAAAGTCGCCTCTGGAAATTCTAGCCTTCATGTTCTCCATGATCTCAGGTCTTCCCCGTCCGTTCACAAAAACGACATATCGCAATCCGGGGAACTTTTCCTCATACTCCATGTTCAGCTTTGCCAATTCTTCACCTTGGCCTTGCAGGTTGGCCTGCTCTGCAGCTGACTGTGCTGAGTCAACTTTCTTGGCCCCTAAACGGGGATGTGATCCGAGAATTGAGAGAAGAGTCTCATCTGGGTTGGCTGACGAGTTCGAGGAGGCGAGTGAGGCAAGGCGAGTCCTGCAGGCCTCGATTAACTCCGGGTATGATGTATACTCTGCATCTCGCACAATGGGGAGGAGAGTGGAATGGATTGAGGGACTGGGCTCGAATAGCAGATCCAAAGTCTTGATCTGCTCGGCTTCATCTGCTGCACGAAGATCTTGAGGTTGAGGTAGGGTCATGATGAATGTTGATGTTGGTGATACTTGTCACAGGACGTATTCAATCTATACTCGACATTCACCAACACCGCAGAAAATAGTTAATTGGATATTTCACTCAATAGCTGTTATCGACAAGCAGTCACATCAATTATCGGATTACGGAGACATGCGAACTCACTATTACCGGTGCTCCCCGCGTTGAGACATGCATCATCTTGATGCACGATAAGATACCAGTCCGCCTTATCTTATCATCCCGTGATCCAAAGCTCTGGTCAGTGCACGGGCAAAATCTCGACTAGGCAATTGTCGTCGCAACAGAGCTTCGAGACGTTGATTTGCGCTATACCTAACGACAAGCAATTGAAAGCTCCACGAGCTCAAATTTGTAGTCGCCATGCTTTGTGGAAGTAAGTTCTTCAGTTTTGTCATCGATAAGTAACGGTGCGCTGACCTCTTGACAGTTTCTGGAGAGGCTCCTCAAGAGCCCGTCGTTTCTAAGAAGTCTGGTATGTATTATCAACATCATCAACGCGCAGCTTTCACAGCTAAACCAGTAAAGGTGTTGTTTACGAGAAGCGCCTTATCGATCAATACATCAACGAACATGGCACCGAGCCCGATTCTGGCGAGGCCCTGACCGCCGATGACCTCCTCCCTATCCATTCGTCGCGTATTGTCCGACCGCGTCCTCCTACCCTCACATCGATTCCCGCCCTCCTCGCTACTTTCCAGAACGAATGGGACGCGCTGGCTTTAGAGACATATAACCTCAAGGAGCAACTTGCGCGCACTAGAGAGGAGCTTGCCACAGCGTTGTACCAGCACGACGCTGCTGTCCGAGTTATTGCACGGCTCACGAGGGAGCGAGATGAGGCCAGAGATGCTCTGAGCAAGGTCACTGTGACGGGTGGTGCGGTCGATGGTGATTCTATGCAGGTCGACAGCGTGGAAAAGTTACCAGAGGAACTCGTTGCCAAGGTGGACGAGACCCATCAGACGTATGTGGTTATCCTACAACTACACGAGCAAAGACTAACCAGCATATAGACTATCAAAGGGTCGCAAGAAGCGCCCTGTCCCTGAGGGTTGGGCTACCGGCGAAGAGATTTCAGCTTTCGAGAGCGCGACCACACACTCCCTACCTGTTCCTGAGGCTACCGCCCTTACTGTTGGAGGAACAAATGCCGCGGCAGTTGGAGGCTTGAAGGGACAAGCAGTTGTCTACTCTACCACCGAGGATAAGGTCGAACAGTCCCTCTCAGTGGGTGAGCCTATTACAGACGCTATTTGGGCTGAGGCTGGTGTCGCTTTTGCGACTGGCCAAGGCAGCATCAAGGTCTTCCAGGAGGGTAACCAGGTTGCATCACTCAGTGAACATGCTGGTGCTGCTACGGCATTGAGCCTGCACCCCGGCGGTGAAATTCTGGCCTCTGTTGGTACGGATAAGAGCATCGTGTTCTACGACTTGGTCGCACAGAAACGTGTTGCCCGCGCTTACACCGATGCTGGTAAGTTTCTCTTGGTACACCTAAAGATGATTCTGTGCTAACGTGTTCCCAGCTCTTACATCTTGTGCCTTCCACCCTGATGGTCACCTCTTTGCCGCCGGTACCACATCAGGCGAAATCAAGCTCTTCATGACCAACACTCTTGAGCAGGCAGCTTCTTTCAGCCTGGGCGCCCCTATCCAGGCTCTCAGCTTCTCCGAGAATGGCTACTGGTTCGCAGCTACAGCCAAGGGCCAGACCATGGTCACTATCTTTGATCTGCGTAAAGAGGGAGACGCGGCGGTGGCCAAGGTTCTTGAGACTGGCGGGCCGGTCCAGTCCCTGGCGTGGGACTACAGTGGCCAGTTCCTCGCCACTGGCGGTGCGGCTGGAGTCACAGTGCAACAGTTCACCAAGTCCAGCAAGAAGTGGACCGAGCCTTTGAAGAGTTCTACACCCTCTGTTGCTGTTCGGTGGGGAGAGTCTGCAAAGCAGCTCGTAACAGTCAATGGCGAGGGTGTGGTCAGTGTACTTGCAACAAAGGAATAGACTGGGGTTTAGAAGGAATTTCGTTGATAATTTGTATTATACGCCCGAATAAAGGGTCAAAGCAAAGCACAGAGGTTGGTGTTTGAAAATTGATAATTATGGTTCTGGTTTTTGAGTATTGAAATGGGAGGCAAAACTTAGCAATATTGCAAGTGACAAAAAAGTGTCTGGTAAACTTAACATCGCCTTTTTAAGTTTTTGGGTTAAGTGGTTGTTTTTGGGGGCTTTACCAAATATAAGAAGTCTTCTTGCTCCTGGAGGCTGGTGTATTGTTTACCTGTTGATACTCCAAAACAACAACAAAACAATCATCACGAAAACCCATCATGGGCTTCAATACAACAAGGTACCTATTGACAGTAGAGCCAAGCGATAGTAACCCCTTGTAGTGAAGCCTTGAAGCCTATTCTTAGTGGCCACTTAGCGGGGTAAACAGTGTTCGCCAGTGCAGGGTCTCTATGCGCTAGAGTCCTGTCGTCACATGGGGAGCAGCCTTGCATCGATCGTCACAGTAGCGACATTCAATTTCAACTTCCTTTCAAACAACTAACTTTGATGCTTACCAACGACCTTCGCCTCCCCCACGACAACCCCCCCAACGAACCGATACGATACGATACAGACGCTTACGACTCCTCTGAGCATAATTCTATGTCTCATCATCTAATTCAGTCTTGCTGCCATAGCGCATTTGCTTAGCTTTCTCTACCTGCCAATCGCCACACTTTTCATCTGCTTCGCCCTGGGCGGCCATTCACTGTATAAGTGTTCACTGCCTCGGGGGATGTTCAAGAGGCTTTGTGCCGCGAATACGATAAGAGAGAACACACTATATCTCCAATTATAACCGCCTAGACCTCGATACCTCGCAGTCCAAGTCTTACACTACCTACACAACATGGCTGAAAACAGTGATCCTCTCGAGATGTTTGAGGCGGGAGGGCATGAAGATATCGACCCCTTTTTCGAAAATGCCTACAGACCACGGCCAAATGCTGGAGATCACCTATTTCTTCCACATCCCCACGCACCCGCTGCGTATCATAACACCCGCCACGCTCGCCGCTCACAAGCTGCTCGAAATCCAGTAATAGAGCAACAACCGCAAGAAGCTACCCCTGTGATCGACCTCACGGAAGAGCCTGATTCTCCTGTACAATCCCGAGCTATTCTCGACATCCTCCAGCCCGCGAGACCACCTGCAAGGAACCCGCGTCGAACGAACTCCCAGCGCATATCACCGCCTCAGTTAGCACGCACCGATGGTACTTTCGTGGGACGTGCAGAAAATGTTATTGACTTAACTGCGGACTCACCTGAGGAAGACCGGTCACACTTCAGAGGGAGACGCGAGGTACCGAGGCCAGACGAACTGATTGAGCTGGAAATAATAAGCCAGCGACCAGCTCTGGGGTCTCTACCAAACTTTGCTGCCTTTGGCCCCTTCAGGAGATTGGCTGGTATCTTTGGGGCAGCAGACATAGCCTTCAACCCACCAAATCTAGACATTTCACGCAACGCATTCGCACGACAACCGACCCCGAAGCCACAAATGTCCCCGCCGCCCCCAACGCGAGAAGGGTTCACTCGCAATACCTGCACCGACCCGGAGAAGGAGTCCGAAAGCGTGGTCATATGCCCAGCCTGTAACGAGGAGCTGGCTTATGACCCAAGCGGCACAGTGACTCAGAGCTCTGTGGGCCAGCAGAAGGGCAAGCGAAAACGAGCACCAGGAGAACACCACTTCTGGGCCGTCAAGAAGTGCGGACATGTAAGTTTCGCATTGGAAATCTGGATTGCTACAAGAAACTAACATATACAGGTCTACTGTGCCGATTGTTATGAGAACAGGAAGCCTACGAAGGCGAACCGTGATGGCGTAGGCTTCCGATCCCCTGATGGGCGACCTGTGCTCGCGGCTTCGAATGACCTCCGATGCGCGGTGGACGGTTGTGATAGCAAGGTATCGCAAAAGTCAGAGTGGGTTGGAATCTTCCTTTGATTTGCTGGCCTGGGACGAACTTCACTCGTGGTCGGCCCTGGGAGTTGGTGGCAACGAAGTCATGAATGACGATAGGGATACTGCGAGCATAGCATTGGCGTTAAGGATTGTATCTTATCAGACAATTTTCCCCCTGAAGTCTGCAGGGCTTGTTTTTTCTTACGGTACAGCGTTCATATATGTGATTTCATGGTGAGGATAAGGGGTTGAAAGTAAGGATAGTTTGGTCCGAGAGCGTCACTAATCCTTAGACCAAGGTAATCTTCTCAAATAAAACAGGATAATATTCTAAACGCCGTCGCTATGTCATGAGAAAAATATGCATAATTTGCCACCCAGCACCCATACAAAAGGGTGATATGAGGCCCTTAACTCCGAGCCATTGTGCGGTCCCACGCCAAGTTGTAGTTCCCCCCCAGTGTTGTGCAATTCGGCCATTTCGGTAGTCGTCATCCAATGTACATGTTTATCGTTATATCATGAGGTCTAGGTCCAAATCGTCAACCCATTCGCCGCCATATGACTCTTGCGAAGCACTAAGTGCAAAAGGCTGTTGTGGCGGCTTCTGGTTCTCTTTGCTTTCTTGCGGTAGTGGTGATAGGTGTAGTTTCGGAGTCTCTACTCGTTTTGATGGAATCCGAGAATTCATAATGTTAGGGTTGTTGGATAGTCTAGATGAGGGTTTCTTAGGAGGTTGTTTAGATAGTTGAGGCTCAGTCCGCTTTGTGGAAATCGTCGTACTGGTGTGTGGTGTTTTCTGCAGTGTTGGTGGTGCCTTAAATGGAGGTTTTCGTGGTTGGTTGCATTGAGCTGCATGTGGAGGGGGGTTGGGAAACACTGGTGGTTTTCTCGTAGGTTCACGCGGTTTGCAAATTCTGCGAGACTCTGCTTGAGCTTGCTCTATCATACCAGCCTGCATGCGAGCTCGCTCGCGTTGCTGGATCTTCTCAAGCGCAGCTGTACGACGACTTCTCTGAATAGCTAGACACATTCTTTCGTGTGAGCCAGAAGACGTGAAGAAGCGTCTTGGTGGTGGAGGTGGCGAGTCCGAGGCAGGTTCAAGTGCTGGTAAGAGGGACTGGTCTGAGGATTTCTCTAGTCCTTCATCGAAAGACTCCTCTTCCTCTTCCTCCGCAATAGGGGTCAAGTGTAAGGGAGCGGATGGCATTATGCCCTCGTCCAGCTCTTCCTCAAGTTCTCGGACTTGTTGAGATGATGAAGGGAAGAAATCATCTAGGTTGAAGAGAATCGCTTGCGTGCTCATGGGTGGTTCTTGGTGTGGTGAACTTGGGGATCGTGGTTCCAAATTCCGTTGTGGAAGAGGCGGTTTGGCAAAAGAGACTGGAGCAGCAGGTCGCTTTAAGCCCAAATCTTCTGCAATGCGATTTGGGACGTCGTTCCTAGTGACTTCCAGTGGTTGCTTCGTCGTGGCAAGTGCTTCTTCTGGTATTTTGTTGCAGATCTTTTGGACTCCGTGGTTCATGTTGGATTTTGGATTGCTCATAGCTGCTTCAATATCCTCAAGAATTCCCAGGGCCAGATCTTCCTCAAAATCCGCATCTAATTCGTCCTCCAATCCTTCTAGCTCTATTTCGGGTATTGGTGGGTTTTCTAGTGCGGTCTCCGATGCAACAAGAGCTGCTGTTTGTTCTGTAGGTTCTGCGATTATCTCTTCCTTGCCCCCGGGTGATTGAGGCATTGGTGATTCCCGCGACGGTTTTGGTACGTCCTCGACAATCGTTTCCATAGCAGCATCGGAAATTTCCTCATCGTCTTCCTGTATGCCATCAAGCTTCTGCGCTTTGGTCGCCGGTTGTTGTGGTTGTTCTTCGCTTGTCATCGCTTCATTTGTGTCCGTATTACTCGCATTCGCCATCAAATTGTCGTTGCCATGGGCATCTCTCTTCTTTGAAGTACCATTCCCTCTCACAAACCATGAAATCGTTTCTTGACTGGGTCGAACATTCACCAAAGGCAATCCTTTCTTTCGTTTCGCTTCTTTCTCCGCCAACTCTTTCTCTTTCTTCTTGTCCCTGGCAACTTTTGCCTTGGCAGCCGCCTTCTCCCGTTCGAATTCCTTTCTGATTCTTTCCTGCTCAGCCCTCTCCTGTCTCCTGGATTCTTCCCGTGTAAGTTTAGGGCCCTTATTGGCTGCTTTGTAGGCGTTCCGGACTTGTTTTGAGGTCATGGGCCGTAGGGGCGGTTTGTCGGGAGAATCCGCACGACCCGGGAATTTCGGGATGACCGTGAACGTTCGCTGGCCCATGTTGAACTTGAAGACGACATCTGGCCAGTTTGCACGACAGGCGGATGTTGTGTGATGAGGTTGGTTGTTATGATTGAGTTGGGAATGACATAGGACGCGTGGGGGAGGGGACTGACACGAGGTGGAAACGAGATCACGTGGGCCCATTAACAATAACAGTATGACGAACATCAATACTCGCAAGACAGCGAGACCCGTTGAATTATGGCTAATGGACTTCTCAGACTCTTGAAATGTAGTGATTCTATCGGCGTCCCTTTTATGTTCTTTCTCGTGATATCTATTTCTCAAGAGGTTCACGAGTGGGGTCCCAGGCACAAGGGCTATACTCATCAGTTGCCAAATCTTTCACTTCCTCCTCCGTCAACTCAAAGTCGAACAATTGAGCATTCTCCAGAATCCTTGAGGGTGTTACGCTCTTCACCAGAGGAACATAACCCCTCTGCAAGCTCCACCGAAGAAGAACCTGTGCTGGACTCTTGCCATACTTGTCCGCAAGGGCCTTGACCTTGGGGTCATCAAATCGCTCGCCACGCACAATGGGGCAGTAAGCCTCAACTGCAATGTTTCGGTCCTGGCACCACTTAACGATGTCAGGGCGTGTGAGCCACGGGTGCACCTCCCACTGCCCGACCGAGATGGCGCCTCCCTTTCCCGGTCCAAGCTCGGCATCAAGCTCTTTAATGTATGCCTCTAGTTCCTCTAGATGATGAACGCCGTAGTTGGAAACACCGAGTGATCGCACCTTGCCAGCTTCGACGCACTCAGCAAGAGCTCTCCAAGCACCCTTTCGGGCATCAGGTCCACCATACGGGGCATGAATAAGAACAAGGTCAAGATAATCGAGCTTCGTCTCATCGAGAGCAATGTCTACCTGCTTGTGTGCATTCTCGTAGTTCAAGGGAAACTGTTTGGTGAAGATCTTGGTAGTGAAGAAGAGCTCTGAGCGAGGCACACCAGACGCTAGGAGTCCAGCTGCGCTAGGGCCCTGGTTGTAGTACCCTGAAGCAGAGTCGATCTGAGTGCGTTAGATGTGCATTGAACGCCAGAGCCTTAGAATAAACTCACATGGCGGTAGCCTATCTCGATAGCCTTCTTGCAGAGGTCGGGGGCTTGTTCAGCGGGACTGAATGACGTGGTTAGAGTACATAATGCCTCCGGAACATGACGTGGACTTACACCTTGTAGACCTAGGCAGTTACATTAGCAGGGTGTGAAACGAAGGATTGAAGGATCTTACTCCATAGCCAAGAAGAGGGATCTGGTAGCCTGAATTGAGCTTCCTTGTAGAGTCGAGAGCGAGTTTAGAGGCCATTCTGAAATTCATGAACACTTTCTGTATGATGTTGAGTTGAATTTGTGGATGAGGGGTAGGGGCGAGGACGATGAATCATTTAAATACTAAGTTTCAGGTTCTACAGGGTCAACACTTTGTCAACAACGAAATTGTTTGGGTGTATATATGTATTCGGAGCTCGGAGTTACGACATCATTTTGTGCTCTCGCGTTTATAGATCAGATAAGCGCGAGGAACTTGTCGTGATGATCGTCGTGGCGTTGATTTGACATTCACAGTTGGGTAAAAATGCGGGGATAATTACGTGCCCTTGTTGTCGATCTTGTTTACTTATCGCCGAGAAAACCGACGACCTCAAGATCTGAGGCTTCCTTGGGAGATACCCAATGAAGTAAAGCATGTTAGAGGTCAACTATGCACGTTATCAGGTGAAGATTGGAGATGTACAGTTACGGCACACTGAGTGACTTCATCTGAGCAGGTTTCACGCAACGGTACAGGGTAGCACCACAACAGCACCTAAGGGAGGTAGAGCCTCATGAATTCGTATCTCATTTCTTTTATATACTCGTTCGACTAGATGACACTATTTTCAATGGTAGACTCTCCAGTTGCCTCATTATCTTCATCATCATCGTCTTCATCAAGGTCCAGCATTGGGTAGTTGAGTATGGCAGCGATATCGCCCAACATAGTCAATCGCTGACCACTCTCATGATCACTGCTGAGAACCCTCGCCTCACCACCATCACTCCGTACCTTGTCAACTAGAGCGACGTACTTTTTGCGAAGGGTAAGGTCTTCACTTCGGAACAGAGAATTGTTGACCAGAAGAACACCACCACCTGGTCCCACGGCTCCCTCTTTGACAGCCTTCTCGACAGCTGAAGTACCATACCATGCACGCCCATCGTCAAGCTTTAGCATCTCGAAAAATTGATCAACATACTGTGTTTCGCGGGCGAACTTCATATCCTTCATCTTGGCCAAGACTTCAGGGCTCTTAAGGATCTCGTTGAGACTGTGGACGTGGCCAGAATTGGAGTGAACCACCGTAGCCTGCTTCGCCACGGCTGTAAGCACCTTGTCTGCTTTGTCCCGTCCTTGGTTGGCGATATATTGCTTGAAGTCTCCAGCCACAAAGCCTGGGCTGGCCAGTAACAGCGGCCGTGACTCTGTGAAGTCCATAGTTCGTAAAAGAGTCGACAATGTCTTCTCAAAGAAGCGGCGCATACCTGCATCTTGGTCTGATGCAAGATCGCGTTTCTTGGGAATCACGCTCTCAACACGGACTTTGAGAACGGTTCGGAACGGTGTGATGAGACAGATGTTGGCAAGCCCTTCTTGCATGACAACGGCTGCTACGGCACCATCCTTGTCATCCGATAATGCCTCTTGAAGGGTGGCTCTTGCGACAGAGTCCCATCCATCTAGCTTGACGATACTAAACGGGCGGTTCACCTCGAGATCGAGGGTATGATGAGAGCCTAAGGGGGCAAGATTGTTCTCTATAACGACGGATCCAGAGACCCGGAGTGATGAGATGATAGGATCAAATGTGGTGGATTTGACTTTGATAGTCAGATTAGTGTGATGACGCTCAGATTTCGAGCTCCCAGTGTCTGTAGTAACAGTTACTTTACGGATTGTGTGAGCATGGACGATATCTCCAGATAGGATCAGGTTGTATGCATGCCACTATCAACATTGTTAGCGTGCTGTCTCATAAGAACAAGCGGTGACATCGGTGGGATTCGGAACAGATAATGGCTTGAAGTGCGAGACATGTGGTATAAGGTGAATGCTGGACAGCAGCATGTCAAGCAAGGCCAGAGACCGCGGAGGGTGTGACAACGACGGAGGGGGAGGGGTAACAATAGGAATAGAGGCAGGGTCTAAAAGGGTCGATAAAGGGAAAACGGTATGGCAGACCAGGGGTATAAACTTAGAAGAGACCAAACAGCAGGAACAGGGGCTACTGACCATATCTTCGGGATCCTCGGGCAGGAGGGAAACGGCCTCCTCCGCGTAGGCATTGAGGGCCTTATTGCGTGCTACTAACTTCATCTTTGGCTAGGTGTGCGAGCTGTGGCTGATGAAAGCTGAAGTGTGAAGCGTGAACAAGTCAAGCTGGAGGCTGGATTTCAGAGCCTCGGACCTCGGTGGGTTTGTGACAATGACAGAAACAAGAGTTGGCCCGTGTCTGACAAAGACCCAGATAATTACTGGGCAACTTGGTTGTCGCACCAGAGAACTCGCCGATGACAAACGGATGTTGGATGATGATATTGATAGTGATACCCAATAGATTGTTGGCCCAAGGTGGGTGGTGCAATGCGGCTAAGACCAGTAAGGCTGGGCTGGGCTAGGCTAGGCTGGCAGGCTGACCAAGACGAGAAAAAGCCAAGACGGGCAGATTTTGAGGCTCAACGGCTGTTGGACAGTGGAGGCTAACTCTTCCTGAGGGAGTGACTATCAAAATCGTGAATGTAAAGTGCCAAGTGGATAGATGGACCACGGTAGTTCGGCGATACGGCAGTTGGACGGCTCAGAATAGATCTCTCGGTGCCGCTGTCAGGTACAGACAAGGATGAGGTGAATCGGTGATGATGTTGACGTCGGAGTCGGTGGTGGAGAGAAGCCGGGCCCGACGGGGTTTTGATGTTGTCCGTGGACCTGCGAGTGACCACTCTTTGAAAGTATCAGGCCAAGTTCTGAAAGTCAGAAGCAACGGGATTGGAGTTTGGATGCCCACAAGTGGATAATTAGACGACGATTCGAGTGACGTGACTCCACAAGCTCAAAGTTCTCGAACACAAGATTTGTTTCTGGTGCATGGATGCGGAGTCTTAAAAGCTCCGCGGATTGCGGAGGATGAGATGAACGGAGTTCAGCACAACCCCGATTGTTTGAAGCTATCACAGTGACAGAGCGCTAAACTGACTTTTCTTATGCGCTTTTTTTTTTATCCCTTTCGTCTGGCGGAGTTTGGGTGAGGGGATTTACAGATGGAACGGAAATGGATCGATTTGTTCGCTGTACGCCGAACGCCATAGAGACCCATGACAGGCCTTGGCGATCTTGGCGAGCGAGACATCGAAAAAAAAAACTCTCTGGAAGAACGGCACGAGGTGATCCACGGAACTGCATTGCATTCTTGGCGATATGCAAAGTGCTGCACTTCGCATCGTGTGACAGCCAGACAGACAGTCTGTGGTCGTTTTAGCAATCATTGGGTCCCCTGTGGCTGAGGGAATAAAGACATCAAGGCAAAACGTTGCCGATAATAAAGCGTATTCTGATATTTCGTGAGTGATTGTATATAGGTCAAATTATCAGTTCGTAAACTCTAATTATTAGGTAGCATCTTCAAATCTTGTCAGCATTTAACTCTGAAAACGTCAAAGTTAGTTCTTTGCCTGAACAACGCGTCATCATGATACAGCCGATTCAAAACGCTATTTGACAGAACAACTGTTACTTGATACCTGCTGATCTGACGTCGTGAATCTCGATAGTGCAAGGCACCGAGTTTCCTCTCCAAAAAACCAAAACCATGCCTAGTCAAGAAGCTGCTAATTCCGGCCCGTCTCGAAAGCCAACGACGTAAGCCCAGCATGTGAAATGTAAGAGTGAGTTTGCGTCGTTTAGCTGCTGGTTCTCGCATACTTGTCTCACTTGGGATGCATTCGATGTAACTCGC